TTCCTTCCCCTGTCTCTTCCCCTCCCTCTTCCCTTCCTTCCTTCCCTTCCTCTTGTTCATTTTGTTTCTTCCTTCCTATTTCCTTTCCTCCCTCTTTATCTTTTCTGTTCCTTCCTTCCTTCCCTATATTCCCTACTCTAGGTGCTCCCTGAGCTGGGTTATTATTCTTGCAGATGTTTCATTACCCAAACTAGGAAACATCACCAGTGTATCTGGAGTAGCACTGATGATGTTCCCTAGTTTGGTCATGAAAACAACCCAGCTCAGAGAGCACCATGGATTTCTCATCCCAACCGGGAGCTACTATACTCCATTGTTGATATTTCCTGTCCCCTCCTTCCTCTTATCCTTCCTTCTTTCCTTCCTTCCTTTCTGTTGGACTAGATGACCTACAAGATCCCTTCCAACTCTGTTATCCTTCCTTCCTTCCTTCCTTCCTTCCTTCCTTCCTTCCTTCCTTCCTTCCTTCCTTCCTTCCTTCCTTCCTTCCTTCCTTCCTTCCTTCCGTCTATTTCTCCTCCCTCCCTCTCTTTCTCCTTCTCCCTTTTCCAGGAGTGAGCCATCTCGTTTAAAAGCAATAATAAAAGTGCCCTCGGGGTCAAGAGTCGTGTGGGGGCAGTGGGGAGAAAGGAAGGACAGCTACTGCATTCCCACACCCTACCCCCTTTGCGCTTCCTCTTGCTTTGGTCCCCGATGCCTTGCGCTGGCTGTGAAATTTACTCTAGGATAGCACCTCTGCCTCTTCCCCGGGTCTCTGCGGAGGGCAGCAACGGGGGAGGGGGGGGTTGGGCATCTGCTGGTCAGAACAGAGACAATGGTGGGCTTTCTCACAAGAAGTACGCCCCCCACTCCTCTTTTCATGCAACCGACAAACTCTCCGAAACAGAGGCTCCCATTTTTTTCCATCTTGGAAATGGCAATAAAAAATTCAGAATTGCCCCTTTGAACTGGTAAAAGATGGCGCTTAGTTAACTCTCACACAGATTCTTGTATTTGAGTAGGGGTTGTTTTTTTTTTTCCTGTGCGTAACTCCGGGACAGCCATATTGCACCAGAAATAATTTTTAAAAAGCAGATTTTTTTCTTTTCTTAACTGTGGCCACTTTAAGACTTGTGAACTTCAACTCCCAGAATTCCCCAGCCAGCCAGCCATAGAGGGTAACTTTCTTAAGAGATGGTGGGTATGCAGTAAGCGTAATATATCTTGACTTTGGCAAATTGGGGGGGTGGGGGGGAAGAGCTAGCTGGGGAATTCTGGGAGTTGAAGTCCACAAGTCCTAAATCGGAGGTCTCCAACCTTGGGCACTTGAAGACGTGTGGACTTCGATTCCCAGAATTCCCCAGCCAGCCATGGAGGGTAACTTTCTTAATAGACGGTGGGAACGCAATAAGCGTAATATATCTCGACTTCAGCAAAGTAAAACAAGAAAGAGCCGGCTGGGGAATACCGGGAATTGAAGCCCACCCATCTGAAAAGTTGCCGAGGTTACTGACCTCCATGTTGATTGGGGAACCACCCTGGGAGTTGAAGTCCACGTGTCTTAAAGTGACGAGGTTGAAAAAAAAGGTGGATTCAGCTTGGCCAAAACCCTGCGGAGAAGGGTTCCTTCTTAGTCTCTTCCATCTCCAGTCTCTAATCTGCATGTACCCCCACAACCATTGTCCAGGTGAGACCACCTGATTCACAAACCGCCTCTGGTCTTCTTTCTCACCATCCAGGTTGGGGGTGGGGGGGGCTGGCTGTCCTTAGCAAGACAGTTTTCTGGAGCGTTCAACTTTTTGATAGCTAGGAAGAGTTTCAGTAAAGTTGAGGAGTTAGCTCGTGATAAGAGCTATTAAAACTGGAAGAAAAAGCAACAATAACAACCCAGCACCAGTAGCATTTCTACCTATAGAACACAGAGAGACCCTTAAACTGAGAAATGTTTTGAAAAAGAAACGTGTTTTTACAAAAAACAAAAAAAAAGAGTTTAAACTTTTAAAAAGAATCCAGATTTGTACCTGCTGAAAGCTCAGGACAATGCACTTTTTACTGTTTGAAAAGAGGGGGTTTATTGATTTATTTAGCGTATGGAGAGGGGAGATTTGAAGGGTATAAAATGTTTTATGTTTATTCAGTTTTCAGGGGGAAATAATTCACTATAAACCAAATGACCGAAGCCCGACAAAAACTGAAGCGCTAAAGGGCTCCGGTGAAGAGGAAATTAAGAATTTTTGAGAAGTTTATTCAGCTCAGGAGAAGAAAAGGTGGAAGGGTGTGAATATCTCTCCCGGCTGTCTCTGGAAATTCTCAGTCACCCGAGTCATAGTTGTCCCAAAAGTGCTTTTTCAAGAGGCAAGTGTTTGTTTTTCCTTGAAGACGTTTCGCTTCTCCTCCAAGAAGCTTCTCCAACTCTGACCGAAGGATGGAACAGTTTATATTCCTTGCAGTCCTCTGGTTGTTAGCACTCTCTCTGGGAGTCATTGAGGGGGGTTTATCTCTGCCTTCAGAGTCTCCCTCTTCCACTTTCAACAGAGCGGGGAGGGATGTGACCTCCCCACATCTCCTGTTTACAAGACAGCTCCTTTCAGCAATTCCAAGAAGGTTGAATAGAATAGAGCTGGAAGGGGCCTTGGAGGTCTTCTAGTCCAGCCCCCTGCTTGAGCAGGATAACCTATACTATTTCAGATAAGTGATTGTCTCTTAAAAACACCCACAACTTCTGGTCGCAAGCAGTTCCACCGGTTAATTGTCCTCACTGTGAAGAAGTTTCTCCTTCCTTCCAGGTTGCTTCTCTCCTTGATGAGTTTCCATCCGTTGCTGCTTCTCCTGCCTTCGGGGGCTTCGGTAAATAAGTTGACCCCCCCTCTTCTTTGGGGCAGCCCCTCAAATTCTGGAATGCTGCCATCATGTCCCCCCCAGTCCTTCTTTTCTTTTAAACTATCCAAACCCAAATCCTGCAGCCGTTCCACACCCGTTTGCACCACTCGGGTGACCCTAAGGACGCAGATAAACCTCCAAGCGGCCTCAATGATCCTCAGAGAGAGCGCTAACGACCAGGTGACAGCAAGGAATATAAATCCTTCCATCCTGCACCGTTCGGTCAGAACTGAAGGAGTTTCTCGGGCGAGAAGTGAAAGGTCTCCAAGGAAAAACAAAGGAAGTCCAGTTTCCTCTCGAAAAAGCACTTTTGGGGACCACTCCCAGTTAAAATTTAGCCTTGAAGTAAGCAAGCTTGCGGGGAGTGGAAAACTTGAAAGGGGGGGGTGGTGGATAAAAGAGAAGAAGTCATCCTTCCTCTTCCTCCTCCTCCTCTTCTTCCCACAAGCCAAACGGTTCTATCCCCCGCCCCCACCCCGCTCTAGCTGCTTCTACAACCTGGCCAATTCTACCTGC